GTGGGCACGGTGTACAAGGAGCTGATGGCAGCGCCCTTCGCTGCAGACACCGGATTTGCCTTGAGGATGCTACCTTTTGCACAGCCCGCATGCACAGCGGCACCGAAGGGGGCGACGGCCGCGGCAGCAGTAATTATGCCTGAGATGCTTGCGCCGCACAGCGCACTGACATCCAGCAAATCCTGACAGTGAACCACAATAAGGTTGATGAAGGTGACAACCTGACTCATGTAGGCAATCGCACCACCAATGTCCACCGTGCAGAGGGCATCGAAGACTCCGGTGACCTTGTTAATGGGTCCCTGGCGGTTGATGCGGCCGCAGAATCCGCTGTTCACTGCCGAATTGATGGAAATGCCCATGTTGGCAATGTTGGCCACCACCATTCCGATGTTCACCCCGCATTGCACGCCAACACCAATGGCACCCTCGCCGACAAGCAGTCGTCGCCCGGCGTTTCCTCGCACAGTCTGGTCTCCAAGCAGACCGACCTGTGTGGTGCTGAGCTCAGGTGGCACACCTGTGCATGTAGCCGCTGCTAGCGATGCTGTGGCTGCCAACTCGCCCATGATGGCGACCAAGCCGGTAACGCCCACGGCGCACACGGCGTTGACGTTGAGGGTGGTGGCACAGTTCGAGGCTGCGTAAGCCAACCTTGCGGCAGCGTTGCCCACCCAGGTCACGAGGATGGCAGCGTCCACCTGGCACGCAAGCTCGGACTCGCCATCGCGAGGGGGAGGGCAAACCCTGATGATGGCGTTGATGTCGTCACCCAGGCCCACCACGGAGACAAAGGCCTCGAGCACGTTGAAAGCACAGTATGCGTTTGTAGCCTCGCGAGCTCGCTTCGCCTTCTTGTCTGCCCTGTAGGCAATGATCTCTTCCTTGGTGAGCATCTCACGGCCAGCGTCGGCTGGGTCTGCAGGCAGCGCACGAGTCTGCTTCTTGTCAAACAGATCTGCGTACTTGCGCCCAGTCTTCCTCATGGCCTTAAGCACGATCTTCTCGGCCAGCTTGCGGTTCTTGACGCTCTTCAAGGCTTTCGCCTTGAGAGACATCTGCGCATGCAAGCCCAGGGAGGACTTGCCCTGGAAAGCTCCGAAATCCAAGGATTGGCACTTCTTCGCGCCTGGCATGGTCAGGACAAGCGCAAGGACCCCAAGGCCCAGCACTCCCACCAAAGCGACTTTCCTGGGTTGCTGTTAAGGAACTTAGTTTAAGTTGCTATAATGGTAAACCCTATTTAGTATCATATATATACCCATTATGGTAACTTAAATGAAGTTCCTTAACAGCAACCAAGCTTCTTCACCCAACCGCGGGAGCTTGGAGGGGAGACCTTCGACTCCTCCTCGGACTCCTCATGGACGGCTTCGAAAGGCATGGCCATGGTGAGGCAATCCTGGATCTAGGCTGGCTGAAAGATCTTGGTGCGTTGTGCTTTGCAGCTGCAAATGCGGCTGCGGCGAACACGGGAATAGAGCCTAAACCCTAAACCACTAAACCCCAAAACCCACCCTAAACCCCTACACCCTACATTAAATTCAGCGTGGAAAGATCCTTGGTTTGTGCCAAGCTCCTGACTAAGACTGTTGGATTTAGGGTAAGGGGCTTAGGGTTTTAGGTTCAGGGTTCAGGGTTTAGGGTTTCAAGGGTTTGTAGTTAGTATATGGGGGTTTCCCAAAATTAGGCAGTGGTCCCATCGGAAGCGTTATAACATTTTTTGGGAGGTCCCCCTATTTGGGGAAACCACCAACACATACAGTAATTGCTAGAAAGAGAGGGAGATTCTCTCAATTTCCCTTTTTCTTCTCCAGTTGTGATTCTCAATGAATCCGATTACTGAAGCTCCCATTCGTCTAGGGCAATAAGTGGATTTCGGTAGCCCCAACCCCCAAAATTAGGACATCACAACTTATGACTGTTATGTGCATGATTATCATGGGGTCCTCATGTAGCGGTTGGGGTGACCAAGGGTTCAATGTTTACTCGACTCCCCTAAATGCAGCCCCCACCCCCCTAAAAATTGAATGTTACCATGTATGGTATACTAGACCTCAAAAATATGAGGAATATTCAACGTTAAGGGGGGTCAGTATCAGTGAAACGGGATTGCAAACGATTTTGAGACGACCAAGTTGGACAGACGCTAAACCCTGAACCCTAAACCCTAAACCCCGAGCTAAGCCCCTAAACCCTAAACCCCTAAACTGCTAAACCCTCAACCCTGAACCTGGAACCGGAAACCTTAAACCTTAAAGGTTTAGGGTTTAGGGGATTAGGGCTTAGGGTTTAGGGGTTTAGATCTTAAACCCGAGGCTTTAGGAAAGCCCATCCCTTTCAGCCCCTATATCATCTCAGTATGTCGCTCCTCATTTTTTGATAGCGCAAAACAGCAATATAGTACCCATGTTATCTCAGCATTTCCCTCCTCAAAATAGTACCATCATCAACCATATTATATATATATATAGACTCTTAATACCACCCTAAACCTGAACCCCAAATCCTGCGACCCTAAACCCTGAAACCCTAAACTATCTATCTATCTATCGATCTATACATACATACATACCACCCTAACCCTAAACCCCAAACCCTCAACCCCAAACCCTAAACTATCTATATGTGCATATATATGTATATATATTATAGATACAACTATATATATATGTATATACATATGGTAGTTTCCCAAAATAAGAGGACCCCAATAGACACTAATATACTAGGATCCTTATTATAAGGACCTTCAAAAAGTGTACCCCTAATTTTGGGAAACCCTAGACCCTAAACCCTAAACCCTAAACCCCAAACCCTAAACCCTAAACCCAATATACATATATGTACACGCTCCCAGTTCCTGTGGAGGCTGAGAGCCTCACCCGCATCTCATCGGTCCAACCTCGAAACGTCGTAGAGTTGTAGGGCTTAGGGCTCAGGGATTTAGAGTTTAGGGTTTAGGGATTAGGGTTTAGGGATTCAGAACTTTGGAGTTTAGGGTGTAGGAATTAAGAACCGTGGAGTTTGGGGTTTAGGGATTTTAGTTTTAGGGCTTTATGGTTTAGGACTTAGGGCTTAGGGATTAAGGATTAAGGTTTAGAGGCCTTTTTGAACCCTTTCAGTGGTTTTCTAGGGAATTCGTACGGGAAAGCATGTTCAGGGATTAGAGTTTGAGGGTTTAGCGATTTGTGGTTGGGAACTATGTTGGGGGGTTGAGGGGTAAAGGTTTCAGAAAACGGGGTGGAGGGTTCAGAGGGATGAGGGAAAAACCTAAGCCTTTGAGGTGGGGTCATTCCCCCTTACAGTAAGTGTTACCACAATGGGTTATAGGAGTTATAAGAAGCCCCTTACTAAGGCCCCTTTAAGGACAGTTACTGGGAGGGGGAGTGGTCCAACTTTGAGTTTTAGGCTTGCGAAATGACTGGGCTTAGAGGGAGATGAATCCAAAGGTTTAGGGTTTAGGGTTTAGGGTTTAGGGTTAAGGGTTTAGGGTTAAGGGTTTAGGGTTTAGGGTTAAGGGTTAAGGGTTTAGGGATTAGGGTACAGGGTTAAGGGAACTCATGATGAGGGGAATTACAGGGCAGGTACCCTTATAGAAGGACCATAATGCGCATTATATGAGGAGACCCAGAGGTGAATATGGGATGTGAACCCCTGTTATTCCACGACATTCTGACCATGATGTCCCTAAGTCACACCTATATAACCCCAGCTTCCATGGAATTGTCCATCTTCTTGTCCCCTTGATTCTGAGACTAGCCAAAAAGCCTCAACCCTAAACAAACATCAAACCCTATAAAAAAAGTTAAGAATATATATATATGTATATATACACATATATATATATATACAGCTTTTGCCCCCTGTATTACCCGATCAACCTTTGACTCATTGACGGCAAACCTAATACCCCAAAAAAAATGACGCCGCCGTTAAGGGCTTAGGATTTTGGAGGGCTTTGGATTGGGGTACACAGCTACTTTTGAGGGGGGCTATAAGGAAATAGAAGGTTGAGAGTTTAGGTTTTAGGGTTTATTTTGGTGGTTGCACCAATTGAGACTCTGTTCCTCTTTTCGAATACTATGCCCTCAACCCTGAACCCTAAATTCACATCTCCGGCCTTTTCCATCCAGTTGGTACGGCAGCACCGGCATCTTCAACAGACGCCTTGGAGAGAGGCAATTGGGGCTTCGGTGCGTTTAGAGTTTAAGGCTTGGGGTTTATGGTTTAGGGCTTTAGGTTTTAGGGTTTAGGGTTTCAGGTTTAGGGTGTAAGGTGTAGGGTTTTGTGGTTTAAGGTTTAGGGCTTTGGGTTCGAGAATGTCAGGGTATTGTACGGGCCTAAATCATCACCTATGTCATTCTTAGGGCTGTTCGAGGTGCTACAACTACACAAAGAATCCAAGACCGCAATATTGGTAATGATTTAGACCTCTGCTATATGTAGAAACCCAGAAAACCTGCCGACCTCTGCAAGTTGTTCGAAAACGGAGGGTTTTGGGGTTGTTTCGATTTGGGGTTTGAGCTTTAGGGCTTAGTGCTTAGGTTAGGGCAGCGGGATGGCACGGGCCAGGCAGATGCTTGGTTGGGGTGTTCCGTGTCAAACACAGAAGAAAACTAAGAGTACTTGAAGGCATTTGGGGCAACCTATATAAGTCATTATCTAAACTCCTTAAAGGGGGTTATAAAGGGGTTATATAGGGCACTACTATAGGGATTATTAGGGGAGATACTAGGAGTGTAGGCTATAGCTCATATAAGTCCTGTAACTTCTTGAGCTCAGAATCGTTCAAGACTTTTGTGGTCTCTCCTGGGCCCGCCCCCTGTTATTCAGGTTGCGAAGAATCAGTGGGGGACTGAAGGGGGACCTAAGGTGATAATCTGATGCTGAGAGCCACATCCTTCCCTCACCTTAAACTTGAGGACGAGGAGGAGGAGGAGAGGACCCTGAACCCTAAACCCTAAACCGCGACCCTCCACTGCTGAAGAAGGACATCGCCATAGCTCTTCATCAGACCATGCCATGCTCATACTGCTCACCCGAATATTAAAGGTTTAGGTTTTAGGGTTTAGGGTCTAGGGCCCCCCTATTGTTAGATATTCCCTATATAGTTACTGCAGTATACCACAGTAGGTGTATTGAATATTAGGTGGGGTGGGGAGGTTTAATGTAAACCCTAAACCCCTAAACCCCAAACTTAGTTTACTCACCAAGGTTGGAAGTGAGGGCCCACGTAGCGCTCGGAGTCGAGGGTCTAGGGTTTAGGGGTTAGGCTTTGGGGTTTAGGTTTAGGGTTTGGGGCTTGGGGTCTGAGATTTCTTTGGGGCTTTGAGGTTTGAGTGCTTAGGGTTCAGAGTTTAGGTCAGTACCTAGGGCTTATAAACCCTAAGCCCTAAACCTAAAACGCAAATACCTAAACTCTAAACCTACAGGGCTGGGGTTCAGGGCCCAAGATTGAAGGTGCTTTTGTTTCCCTAAGAAAGAACCGCTTGCTAAAAGGTTGAGGTTTGGGGTTTAGGGCCAAGGGTGCGTGACTCACACGGCTTTGGGTTTAAGTAAGGTTTAGAGCTCAGGTAAGCATAAGGCGCTGCTGCTTTTGGACTTTTTTGCTAGGGCCATGCGCGC